CTCACTGTCACAACTAGAACTGCTTTCAATAACCTTGAAATCACTATCACTATTACTTGCACTGCTCACATCTGAGTCTTGTACACGACCAAATAGTTTCCTCTTTCGTCCTGGTACAGGTGAACATGAACGAGCCGGCCCAGCACCAGAGGTGGAAGGTTGTGGGTCATCTGGGTTTTCATCACTAATTATGTTATCCTGGGTAATTTTCTTGGTAACACCTGCTTCAAAACCAGGGAATTCACTTTCACTGACACTATCATCACTGTTTGAGCTATCACTTGGGAACAAAAGACCTCCAATCCGCCGAGGAGTGAGGAACTTCTTACCGCGAGGCATGGTGAAAATGGACTACCAAGATGGCGTTCCCACAATGCACCGCTGAGTCCCAGATTTTTTTCACAGGGTACACACCGACCACTGAGACCCATTCTCTCTCATGTAGGCCTACCAGCCCTCTCCCGCTTGATTTGAAGCCGCTAGAATTTATGCGTATAGATACGTCAAACACGGTATCTCCCATGACGTATCTATACGACCGCGACAGTCAAAGGGTTAACTCATGAAGCTGGGTGCCTTGATGCTGGTCTGGTTAATGGCATCAGTCCTTCCCTTCCTTAGTTAACCCGTAAACGGTCCAAACGTACATATACGTTTTTTCAATATTTGAAAGTATGTAAAAAAAAGTAGATCTTCTTTTTGTTTTTTTACATTTGAAAATGTGTAAAAAAAACTCTGATCTTTTTTTTTTTGTTATACATATTTGAAAATGTGTAAAAAAAACGTAGATCTACTTTTGTAGCACTACACATGTGAACGTAGATCTGCTTGGACCGTTTACGGGTTAATATCCCATTACTTTTCATCCATTTAGAAAGACACTGCAGAAAAACCTTCATTTAACCCTTTGGGGGTCAACAGGTCCTCTCAGAGACTTGTTCTCAGGGTCGGCCAAATTTAAAAAAAAAAAAAAAAAAAATTCTTATGAAAAGATGGAGAATCTTTTCCCGATCATAATGGCACCAAAAGTATGAAGTTTGATAGAAAACTTATGTAATTATGCTCTCGCAAAGTTAGCAGTCTCGACGATGTTTACGCATCGGCGATTTTGCCCACTTTGAGCCCTATATTTGGCCAATTCCAGTGTACTGGTCGACAAAAATCATAACTATTTTGCTAGAATTTCATTTTTTCTATCGAATGAGTACAAGAAACCACCCATTTACCGATTTAAACTATCCAATAAAGTGGTCAGAATTTAGCAATTTTGCCAATTTCACACAAATTTCAAAAGATGCCAATTTCTGAATATGGTCCAGAATAAACAAGAAAGACATTCCTGGCACTAAAATAACAATCTCTCTGTTCGTTAGTCACATCCCCAGGCCCCTCTTATAT